ACCCATACATGATAAAAGCCAAGCCCAAGAAACCATAAACCTAAACACACATCAATAAAACCCATATACCCAATACAATTAATTATACACCATACAAAAGTAAGCCTAATACACATCCACAAACTCTAAATCTTAAACCTTAAACTCAAACCTTAAGCTTAGACCCAATTTTAGATACAATCAAAGTTTTAATATACAGTGTATACTTTAATGGGGACCCACTTCTACGTGGAAGTCCCTCTAACTTAAATACCATTCGCTTAGCCCTTTCCCCCGGTGTGGGATTTTGTTCTACCCCATACAAAACGGTTTGCTTCTTTCACCAATGTCTTTATCCCAAATACCTACACCACACAAAACATATTATAGGTTGAGAGATCCATTACGAAAAAATTATAAAAACAAAAAAGCTTCAAAATAAAAAACTTAAAACCGGACACCATTTTCTAGGAGATACTGATATTGATAATAATGATAATAACAAACTGACAACAGTCCCCAACCTTCAACAACATACAGAGTTCCATTTTGTCATCCCAACATTCTTTTGCACAACCATATGAATCTTGAAACAATAAAGAAGGTTTATGCATGAAAAAATAAATAAATATGACAAAGATATAAATATGAATCTTGAAATTAAATTTAGCAACACAGTTTAATTCACCATAAAGCTTACTAACATAAATGAGATTGTAAGCATAGTTGAGTGACTAGGTTGTGGATTGGACTGAATATTTCAAAAACAGTTTGGTTCTTTTATGTTTTGAGCATGTGATTTATGTTTCTTTTAATTTAGGTCCTTTTGTTCATTTATTTTAAGTTGCGCTACTTTCATTTATCATCTTCTTTCTCCTCATCCCATTTATCATCATCTTTAGCAATGGTGGGGGTCGGAGGAGTAGCCTTCTCTGAAGGAGACAGAGCTTTTCTCAATTGCATCCGCCGTCTAAATCAAATTAATCATGTAATACACGTCACATTCATGCACATAAATCTAACATATTTTCATCTGATGAACAAGAAGAATTCAAATCAAGCTCCCACTCAAAAGATCATGGACCCAGTGCACTGATTATAGCTTTTTAAAAAAATTCTCTTCTCAACAAAGTAAAATAAACATAGGGAGACATGATAACAAACAGTAGCATAAATAACAGAAAATCAAATATAGCAGAGCAATGCAAAAACAGAGGCAGAAATCAAATATCCCCAATTATCTTCACCTAATACCATGAGCTCCTTTTCCACCTCATTTATCACCCTAAGATTCACTACCATAAGGGTGCGTTTGGTTCACGGAATGTAAGATTACCAGTGGGAATAAAAGATTACCAGGGAATAAGATTACTGGAATGTTGTATTTTGTGTTTGGTTGGTTTAGCAGGAATGTAAGATTACCGTGTTTGGTTAAAGGAATAAAAGATTATTGGAATGTATTTTTAACCAAATTGTCCTTATTATATATTTGTATAATATTACAAATTGTAAAATATTTATATATTTTCTTTAAAAAAAATTAAATTCATAATATTTATATAATTTGTTTTACAAAATTAAAAATATAAAAAAATGTTTAATGAAAGGGTAAATTTTTTTTAACCCCTGAACTTCATATAAAATTTTAATTATAGATTTTTTTTGTAACTCTAAAATAATTTAAGGATAAATTTGTAATTTAACATTCGTAGAATTTTTATTATTCAATGACAGAAGAATGATATTTTTGAAAAAAAATAAAAAATTAAGAGTATTTTAGTCCAAAACGCCAGTAATGTTACAATACCTAAGGGAAGAGAGGTAATGACATTCCCGGTAATATACCACAAAAAATATACTATTGGTAATAAAACATTACCGGGAATGAGATTCCCGGCCAACCAAACATGGGAATGTGGGATTCCCAATAGGAATCCCACATTCCTTGAACCAAACACCTCCTAAAGGTATATCTCCCGTTTTTAAAATTAGAGTTTTTATTTTCTTTGAGTTTCCAAGATTTACCTATTTTCTAAGGTGATATGAGATGAGACGAGGCCTTAGGCTTCCTTCTCCATGTCTCTGGTCGTCGAAGAACAATGACGATCGTCAATGGACGGTCATGCAAGAGGCGGCGTTGAGAAGTGTTCTTGGAACCTTGGAGAGAAAGCTCTCTTATTTTTTTTGGTGGCTGCTAAAAAATGATATAATAGGGTTGCAAAAAACCTAAAGTATACATTATATACAGCTACCAAAACTACGCCGTTTGCTACTCTGTGACTCATGTATTTGGGTTTATCCGGATTGTAATCCTCTCATGTTTCTTATGAAATCAATTTGGTCCCTTGACTGGTTTTAATGCTTTCTTAGTTTCTTTTGATTTTGCCTGCTAGCTTCGTATTTATTTCGATTTCGTCCAGATGCATGCTTATTTATATTTTTAATTTAGCCTTCTAGTTTTCATTTTTTTTATATTTTAGATGTTTAGTTTGATCCCATGTTCATTTTAATAATTACACATTTGTTCCTCAATACTTAAGCATTCTATAAATCTGGTCCTAAATTTAATTTAATTTAAAAATAAATAATCCTCCAATTTTAGTGTTCTTAAAGAATATGTATAGTTTAAATTTAAAAATTGCTAGGGTCAACAACTTATTTTATGTTTTCTAGTTAGATTTAGACTAATCCTTCTTAGGTAACATGAATATGTTCTTATCACACTTAAAAATGTCAAGGAATTAGATAGCAATACAATTATATTTATATATGTGTGTGTGAAATAATAGAAAATTAATATATATAAGAGTTTGCAATACAATAACATGTGGGGTAGTTAGCCTAGTGGTTAAGGCTTGCTTAGGGGAACAAATCATACGATGACACGTCTCATTTGTAAATGTGTCACAATAATATATTGACACGTGGCACCTCTAGATTGGAGGATTAATTATTTTAAATTAAATTAAATTTAGGATGAAATTTATAAAATGCGTAAATATTGAGAACCAAATTTGTAATTATAGCGTTTTTATTAATGGATATGTCACCATCTCTGTTAAAAATTAACGAAGAGGTACTTGATTGAACCATTTAAAAAGTTAGGTAGACTTTTTTTATCAAATAGAAACATCGGTGGTCAAAAATCATTTAGTGGTCACCTATGTAGTTTACCCTTTTTTATTTCCGGCTATCTCCCAAAAAAATACATAAAGAAAAGTCCAACGCTTAAACTTATACAACTATTGTGGCTACTGCATAATCAAAAATGATAAAGCCAGTTTATACCAGAAACAAGCTATTCAAAATGAAAACTTTCTTAAATACATTATTGTTACCTTTGATAATATTTCTCTTCAAACTTTTTAGAATGATGCCTCAACGCAAATGAATTCTTTACAGAATTCTAAATAAAAATAAAGTATGTTCAAAATTATGCTTCTTCTTGATCATTGACAATTTACTACTTAATACTGAAACAAATGCTAAAAAATATGGGAAGTACCAAAGGAAGCAACACATCAACAAAAACGAATCATAATGAATTTGAGTGAGCAAACTAACCTCGGCCAGAAACCTGCTTCCCTCCCGGTTGCAGTTATTCTTGACTCATTTAGATTTTGAATAGGAAACTTTCCAAGAAACATCTCATAAAGAGCATACTGAGTAACATGTAGCTCCATGATAATCCAGTTATATTGCTCTCATATTTCAGGGTTGCTATGCACAAAGCTCCAAGAGTACTTTGATGACTAGTTAGAGAAGACCACAAAATGGATAGTGTTTGCGAATGAAACAAAGATAGCATGTATTAGGGTAGTGGCTAGAGACTACAACGGTATGGTGATTGGGGATCATCCGTCTCCAGTCGACGAAATTGGTTTAAGTAAGATCTTTTTTTAGAAAGTATTATCCTAACAGATAAATATGGATTGAAGGTGATGTTGCGTCCATTATGCATAAAGTCACCAACTTGGTGCTTGATTTGTCGATTACTACGCTTCATTTGATCCAAGCTTATAGATTATTGAAGTCTCACCTGAGTTTTAGTGTCTCCTTTTTAGGAGGGAGGCTAATTTTGTTGCTCACAGTTTAAACTCATTCTTGTATGATTTAATTATAATACTCCTAAAAATTATTTTACCTAAAAACATAATTAAGGTATTTAATAATCGATTAAGTTATAAATAAATGGGCAAAAATATGGGGCCTGTTTTAGATTGAAAGTCAAATTATAAAGTATTAATTCCAAACTGTCTCAAAAAAACGTTTTTTTCCTTAAATTTTTCTTAAAAAATATGTGTGTAATATTTCCAACGTTACATTTTTAGGTGCTCATACGTTCACGTTCTATTAATTTTGAGAATTTATTTTAAAAATTAAAATATTTTTTATTAAAAAAACCCCAAACAACATCTCGTGCCTCTCCTTTCCCCCTTCATTCCCCATCCCCTCTTCCCTCTTTCATAGTCGTCAATCAGTCAGTCGTGACCTTGATCGTCACCGTCATCAGTTCCGACGTTCGCCCTTGATCAAACTCCCGTTGGCCTTTCGTCGTAATCTGCCACCTTTTGTCGTGGAGAAGCATTTAAAGATTCGTCGGATTTTAAGTCATCGTCGTTATTCTTCGTCGATTCTGACGTCCATAAGCCACACCGTCACTACCATTTGAACTACTGTGTAATTTCGATCAAAACTCAACCGTTCGACGATGTCGATGATGGCCAACGATGGCCGGTGATAATTGATAATGGGTTGAAATGAGAAATTTTAGTTTTTAAGATTTTTTTATAATTTCAGTAAAAAAATTGTATTTGATAAATAAATTAAGTTTTTTAATTTTTTTCTTTACCTTTTTTAAAAAAACTATTTTTATTATATTTTTATTATTTTACCTAAAAAGCTAAAGTCGCGCGATTCTGGTCCTTTATCGACTGATCTCGCGCGATTCTGGTCCTTTATCGACTGATCTCGCGCGATAACGCGAGTCTGTACGACCTAATAATAACAATGCGAGGAAATATTTTGATAGGTCAATGTTTTTGCGGAAACCTCTTACATCTGCAACAATGGCTCCTTTCTCTTTACGTTGCCGTCTTCAGAATTCCGCGCTGAACAAGAAAGGTTTCAAACCCAAGGCTAAGCATGTAATCATACTTCCTGCTGCACATTCAGATTTTGGTTACAATTCTTAAATACCTTGCTAATTATATAACTGATACGGTGAATTGGTGATCAGGGGAGGAAGGGGATGAAGAACATGGAGAAAAGCTTCAAGAGGTTGAAATCAGAAATGGAGGAGATAAGCGAGGAGCAAAAGAGCATCAGGGAAGGGCAAAGACAAGTTAAAGAAAAGTTTGATATGATTGAATCGGAGTGCGAGGAATTGAAAAGGGAAACTAGACTCGTAATCCAGCAAAGTGCGAGGACTCAGGTTAAACTTGCTCTTATGTTTCGCATCCTCAAAGCAAGGGAAGCTGACGACTTAAGTACCGCGGCCACTCTCACTGAAATGCTCCGGTTCGTTTCTTAATTACAAATTCAATACTATTAATAGTTGTGTATAAGTCTATTATATGTTTCTTTTAGGTTAGCTCAAACATTTGAATCTATATATAATATGCTCAACTGTACTATCTTATGAGTATTAACAGTGGATTTTCTTTAGTTAAGTCCATTTGAATAAACAATGAAATTGGATATATATCACTGGTGATTTATTATATTGTATTGAGAAATATGTTGAGGAACTGACTAAACTTTACCAAACTAAAGGGTGAAAGATGGATTCTCTTTTGTTGAGGAATGAATAAATTTGCCATGTTATGGTTTCCCCTGGATACTTTGCTCCGTGGATCTTATTTGAACTGCTGAAGCAATGGCATTGATAATATCAGGGATTAGTGCTGGAATCATTTTCGTCGTTACCTCTGCAACAAATGCATGATTGAGAACTCGTTTTCACTTATCTCTTCTATAAGAACCAGACAGTTTTCAGGAAGTTAATTATTAGCTGTGAATCATCATCACTGTGAAATAATTCATACAAATTATTTGCCAATTGAAAATACTTTGTCAAATGGTTCTGCAATTATGGTACAAGTACTTGGTCTTAGTAGCAAATATTCTTGACTAGGCGGTCTAAACTGAAATATCAGTATCTGGAAATACCTGTCTGAATGGTCTTTGAATAGTCTTGAGCTCCCATAAAAACGATTTTTGTCGAAGATTAATGATTTCCTTCTGTGATACAGCAAAACTTACACCCTTTATTTAAGTTACCCTTTTGTGATACTGCAGAATTAACACCCTTCATATAAGTTTATGATCCATATGGGAAAGTCCAGGGATCTGTTTTTCTCCTCAAGGAGATTCATCATTGCATTGTGTGATATTTCTGCCTTTTCGTATGCAGTGAAATAGTAGGAAGAGAGAGGGAGGAAAGCGAAGGTGACATCTGAATGGCTCTGATAAGCTTCCTCTGCGCTGCTGCCCCAAATATTATGGAATAAAATTGTCCGTTCTAACTTTTAGCATTTTTGTGTTGTAAACTGCTGCTACTTGTGTTCCGGATCTACTACTTTTCATGCTGGTTTGTTAACTTTTAACTTAGCAAGTTATTTCCCGTTGTGTGTATGGAGTTTAATATTGCATATGTGGAGACTTGAAAATAAATGAAGTTCAAGTAAACTAGTTATGGTTGTTATCCTGAAGAGTGTCAACCTTGTACATTTTGTTGTTTGCTTTTAATCTTGTGCATTGTTCTACATTCTTTAGTTTGTATGTTAACTTTCAACTTAGCAAGTTATTTCCTGTTGTGTGTATGGGGTTTAATATTGCATGTGGAGACATGAAAACAAATGAAGTTCAAGTAAACTAGTTATGGTTGTTATCCTGAAGAGTGTCAACCTTGTACATTTTGTTGTTTGCTTTTAATCTTGTGCATTGTTCTCCATTCTTTAGTTTGTAAGTAGCATTTTATTTTAGTGAACATTTTGCCACGAGTTCAACAGAATACACGTTTCTATTCTAATAGTTTCTGTGTGAAGCAGATACTGCGGGTTGCCGCGAGGTAACTCTTAATGCTTTTGTTCTTGATAAGAAAGGCTCATGGGAGTCAGTTCAATTGTCAAATATAGCATGTGATGTGTGTGGATGAGCAAAACGGTTTGAGCTTGGACAAGGATATTGAGCAATTGTAATTCTGCTTCCATTTTGGAATTATGGTTTTGCTTTCTAGTTAAAGCATAGCTAAAACATGAAACTGCAAGCAAAGATGCGTCTCTCGTTTCTTTTCTTTGCTAAGGAAAAGACGGTGAAAGCAAACACATGGTTGAGCCAAAGAAGAGAAAGCAAGGAAGACGATGAACGTACAAATTTATTTCTCCCCCTGGATCTGAAGACTCACTTTAAATATTAAAAGCTAAGTGCTTTTTACAATCAAAGAGATAATAACCCCCTTCACGTGGCCCCCCTTCAATTCCTCTCCTCCCTCTTCCACTCTCCTCCACCAACCTTATTTAAAGCTGATTTCAAACACTCCAAATTCACACCATTTGCTCCCATTTGCTCCCTGATGCATGTGGTAGTGGAGTAGGTGGGTCGGTATGTAGTTGAGATAATGGTGGAGTAGTGGGGCCTGTAAAAAAAGAATATATGCTAATAAAAATAACAATATTACATATATATATATATTTATATATATATATATATAATACGCATATATGTATGTTTCGGTCAAAAAAGTGTCTACACAATGGTTAAGGAATAGACTGTGGGGAAGAATTTAAGTGTTTCATGAGTGAATTGAGGATAATGGGTGTAGATATATGTCTAGAATTGATTTATAAATCTTTTAGTATAAAATGTAAGCCTCGCATACGAAAGGCACGCCTGCGTCTTACACCTTGCGCCTAGACTCCTAGAACATTTTGCACTTCGTACATCTTGCACCCTTAAAATCAAGGGGGACGAAACTAAGAAATAACCCCCGATGTTTGAAATTATATAGATTCCTTCAAAGTCAAATGATTTCATTGAATTGAGTATGATTGTATGGGCAAAATCAACGAGATAATGCGTTGAAATTTTTTTTTTCACGAGATAGTGTCCTCGCCAGATTAATTGCTCAAATGGGGTGATCTCTACAGTCCCCATATAGGTCGTCATGTACGCCCAGCGACCTAGGTAGGTCGCCATGCAATCCATGTAGCCCCCAAAGGTCGCCATGCACGTCCCAACACGTTGGGCATCCGACCGAGGCCATTCGAAAGCATCCGAGGCCATCCGAGAGCATCCGATGCCATCCGACCGAGGCCATCCGAACGAGCTATGCGAGGGCATCCGAGGGCAACCGAGCGAGCTATGCGAGGGAATCCGAGCAACCGAGCGAGGGTAGGTCGCCCGGAGTGCATGGCGACCTACGTAGGTCGCCATGCACTCCGGGCGACCTTGTAGGTCGCCATGTACTCCGGGCGATCTACCATCGCTCGGTTGCCCTCGGATTCCCTCGCATAGCTCGCTCGGTTGCCCTCGGATGCCCTCTCATAGCTCGTTCGGATGGCCTCGGTCGGATGGCCTCGGATGCCCTGCGTGTTGGGGCGTGCATGGCGACCTGGTAGGTCGCTGGGCGTGCATGGCGACCTACCCCCAGGGACGTGGGACTGTAGAGATCACCCCATCTGAGCAATTAATCTGGCGAGGGCACTATCTCGTGAAAAAAAAATTCAACGCATTATCTCGTTGATTTTACCGATTGTATGTGTGATAGCATCTATTATACTACAAATATTAATCAACTCAAATATTGTAATTGGTTAATATATTCTTTAGTGTTTGAAGTGTCACCTAGTAATTAAATTTGAACTAATTATTCATAATTATATATGTATGACATATTTAGATAAGTATATAAATCTCATTTTAATCATAAAAGGGAGATCATTCTCTTTAGGGGTTATGTGTTCTTTAAGTTAAGTTTGCAGAGTGTGTGCATTGCCAATAGGCTAAGAAAATTTTGAACAAATGTAATCATCTTAGATTATTTAAAGAAAACTAGAAAAATTACATTAGACAAATAGTCGTGATAGTTTTTTTTCTTCAAATTTTATACAATTTTATAATTATAATTATGATGTAAAAAATTAAGATACTATTATGCTATGCTAATTAAACTCTAGAAAATAAGGGTTTTTTTTATAATTGCAGGTGGTATAATTACAACTATAGTAATTATATATATATATATATATTGTAATTTTCAAACATACTCTGGATCTTTTTATTTGGGTTATCCTTATTGTTGTAAAAAAAATTAAGCAAGAAAAACTTTAATCACAACAGGTGATATCGAAAACTTCAAAACTTGAAGGCTGAACAAGAATTGTTGGGTTTAAGAGGAAAGGTAAACTTTTAATCACTACAGGGTGAAAATGGAGAAGCAAGAAAAAGGCATTAGCCGCTCACTCTAAAATGAGATAAATAACCATTCATATATGAATTATATCAAATTCTCGGTTTTATACATATTATTTAAAAAAATTCAATTTCATATATGATATTTTTTGCCGTTAACAGATTCACCTACTTCTGTCACGAAAGGTGACGTGGAATCCTACGATCACCACACGTGCCATTTTAGTAACTAATTTTTTTCCAAGTGCCACGTGTCAGTGGTCATAGGGTTCTACGTCACCTTTCGTGACGGAAGTAGATGAATCCGTTAATGACAAAAAACATCAAACATATATATGAAACTGAAAATTTGGTATAGTTCATGTATGAATAGGGTAATTAACCCCTTCAAAATCAAACAATAAGCACAAGAAAGAGAATTAGAAAAGACATGGAAAAACAAGAGTTTTAAAGGTAAAAAAATGATTGATTCTTCATTTATTTATAATAAGGGGACATATGATTTCATGTTAGGAATAAATTTTAAAAAATTTAAAAATGATAAACTTATAAAATTTTGAGAGAGAGTAAAAATAAATTATTAATACTAGTAAAAAATATTTATAAAAAAAATAAAATGTCAATAAGAATATCTAAAATATATGATAATTTGAATATTTTAAAAAGACGACTCTTCTAGTTGCTCACTCTTGATCTATACTTGACCTATCATCATTGATAATTGTAGACACTTATTTCCGTCCGGGGTCGTTATTATATTATATATAACTATGTAATATATAGTTTTTGAAAACTTATTTTTAAGAAACGTATAATATATAGTTTTGAAAACGTATAATATATAGTTTTTAAAATAGTTTTGAAAACGTTAATATATAGTTTTTTTAAAATAGTTTTGAAAACGTATAATATATAGTTTTTAAAATAATTTTGAAAATGTATAATATATAATTTTTAAAATAGTTTTGAAAACGTAGAATATATAGTTTTTTAAAATAGTTTTGCAAACGTATATAATATATAGTTTTTAAAAATAGTTTTGAAAACGTATAATATATATTTTTTAAAATAATTTGGAAAACATATAATATATAGTTTTAAAAATAGTTTTGAAAAACGCATAATATATAGTTTTTAAAATAGTTTGAAAAACGTATAATATATAGTTTTTTAAAAAATAGTTTTGAAAACATATATAATATATTTTTCGAAATGTTTTGAAAACGTATAATATATGGTTTTTTAGGATGTTGAAAACGTATATTTTTAAAAAAAACGAAAACATATAATATTCTATAGTTGTTATAATTACATATTATTATTTATTTTATTTATTTTGTTTTTTAATTTTTTAATTTTTATTTTCGGTCAAGGTCCAGCAGTCCAAGGGCCTAGCAGATGGGGTAGGCATGTCTGACCCGGCAAACCGACCCGGTAAGCTCAACAAAGAACTAAGGTTTATGTTAATCAGGGGCGTCGCACGAGAGGAATGAAGCAGCGCGCGTGGAGGCCACACGCTAGCAACCATCGGGATTTCCGGCCGAACAACCTAAGACTGACCCATCCCGAGTTTTCCGGCCGCACCAACAATCAACCATCCCGGAAGAATCATCAACACATCGAGATATTCGAGACCATAAGGGCCGGTTACGGGGATATAAAAGCCTCCGGCCATGCAACGAGAAGAGCACAACAAGAAAATCGAGCAACCAAATATCAACAGTAAACACAAACAAGAAACATTCGAAAAATAAAAAGCCATCAACAACAAAAAAATCAAACTTTTGAAACCGAAAGTGAAGAAAAACAAAGTTTAAAACTTTTTTTCATGGGATAACATCGGGGACATAGAGGAGCTTCATCGGAAGGTAAAAGGTCGTCGGGAAAGCAAAAAGTCTCGCAAAAAAGGTAAAATCCGAGACCTTTCATTTTAAATATACGTTGATGGGGTGGTTTTAGGTTGTTTTCGCTTCGGTTTTAGGTTTGCGGGCTCAAGAGGAATCTTTTGGGGGTAGTTTGGTTTTTCTGACCACCGATGGCGGCGGAGCAACGACGGACGGCCACCGGGCGATGACCCGCCATTGGGCGGAGGGGCTTGGGTTGAGAGAGTTTAGTGGGGGGGAGTTTGTTTTTGGAATGATTTTTTTTGGGATTTTGGACTATTTATAGGGGGATCAAAGCATAATTAGCAAATAGTTTAATTATTTGCGTAGTCCATGAACTTTTGATGTGTAATTCGTTTTGGTCACGTTTTATAAATTTGCCCTTGAATTTTGAATTTATTCAATTTAATCCTTGTTCAACTTTCTTATATTTCGCAAATTGACCCCTCCTGACTTTTTATTTTTTTCTTGCATCATTCAAATAATGTCAATTTGGTCCTTAATTTTAAATTTGTTGCATTTAAATCCTTTTAATTTAAAGTTTTCTTTTACTTTATATTTCTTAATTTAATTTTGTTTTGCTTTAATATTTAAAACTGATTTGATTTATATTTTTAGGTCAATTTCAAATCATTCAATGATAAGTAGTTTTGATCGAACTTTTAAATTTTAATTTAACTTTTAATTTTTGTAATTAAGATAACCGAAAATTAAATTGGTACCGAAAAGGCAGTACAACGATGTTAATCCTCCATTAACTGTAATCGACTCCCGAATCCAACATATTTCTGATAAAACGCAGATCATGTAAGATGATAAATTAAGGTGTCCGATCAACTTAATTTTTAAAAAATATAAATGAACGATGGCGGCTCTAACATGTTTTATTTAAGTCGAAGCCTGATTTCGGGTCTACATGAAGGACGGTTACGACAATAACAAAAAGCAAAGAAGGATCAAAGAAAAAGAATCCATAACAACAAAAAGATGAAGAAAGAGAAAAAAAATTAAGATTTTTGTATATATTAATTATTTCATCCAATTATCATAATTCTTTCAAAACTATTACATTTCTTATGATTTTCTTCATGAATAATATCTTTGTTATCCTTTCTTTGAATATCGAGATTTGTATAAGAATTTCTTTGCAGGTTAATGTTTTAGAAAATTTATTTCTTTTGATATACTTGATAAACGGCTAAACTACCACGATAGTGCATGGGGAATATATTATTTCCCAAATTAATGTAGCCATGCTATTGTTTCCCCAAATGGGGTGATTTACACAGTTAATATGGATTTCTAGGCGTCTTTAGCAGATTTCAAAATGCAAAATGGATCTCTAGGCGTCTTTAAAACCATTCATGGAGGTCTCGGCGTCTTCTACTTACAGCCCATTACCTCGCTTCATCCTTGTTTTGCTGCAACATGCATGGCTTCTCGATCGGCTTCATCCTGGTTTCGCTGCAACATGCATGCTTTCTTGTCTTCTATTTACAGTCGTTATAATTTGTTTTAGATATGGAAGTCCTAATCGTTTTTAAATTTTTTTCGTTATAAAAACGTTATGACAGCTGAATTTACCCTGAATGGTTCAGAATTCATATAATTCAGGGGATACATCTTACAAATATTCCAGTTGGTTGCTAGAAGTCAGTGTCAAGTACACTGCTTGATTCCCTTACAAGAATATGGAGGATTTCATTAACATTGTCAAGATCTCAAAAAGGAGGCTGTAATCACTTGTTGCAAATCAACCTCTACTGATCTCTACGCTGAAGCTCATTCATCAGCAGATGCACAACTGATTCGTATCCCAGTTCCCGAGCTTTGAATTCGACTACAAAAAACGGTACACAAACAAACAATGGTCGGTATTTTTTAAGATTAGCCAGCTGAAAAAGACAAGAAAGCATGCATGTTGCAGCGAAACCAGGATGAAGCCGATCGAGAAGCCATGCATGTTGCAGCAAAACAAGGATGAAGCGAGGTAATGGGTTGTAAGTAGAAGACGCCGAAACCTCCATTAATGATTTTAAAGACGCCTAGAGATCCATTTTGCATTTTAAAATATGCTAAAGACGACTAGAAATCTATGTTAACTATGTAAATCACCCCCATTTGGAAAAATAATAGCATGACTACATTATTTTGGGAAATAATATATTCCCCATGCACTATCGTGGCAGTTTAGCCCTTGATAAACTCGTGTGATATATTAAAATTCAATTGTCAAATTTGCATATCTTATATACATTATTAAATTACAAATAACAATCATAATTCTAGAACACACCACTAAGGATTGTTACAGCATTCATCATGCATGATTAAGAGAGGGCTTTCACATGTTTTTTTTCTTCCTTTTTTCTTTTATGAAGAATCAAATATTGTTTGTAAATAAGCTAATCTATCGTCATTAAGGGTCTGTTTGTTTGGCTGTAATTGGTTTTCCGGAAAACCAATTCCAGAAAACCAATTACATTTCTGGAAAACCAATTCCAGAAAACCAATTACGCTGTTTGGATGCTGCATTGTAAAATGTTTTACGCTGTTTGGTTAGTTTTCCTGAAAACAATTTATGAAATCTGTTTTTTGTAAAAAAGTATATATTTTTATATTTTTGTTGTTATTTACATTTTATTTTTTTATGTTATTTTATAAAATTGTATTTTATAAAATTTTGAAATGAAATATTTTATTTGTATAAATACATGAAATTAAACTTGTAGAAAACATACTAATTATGTTGATTGTGTTATAAATACACAATTTTATTAGGTTATTTGGTCACTGCCCTCATCCTTTATGGTTATTTAATTCCTATTTCACTTTATGTTTCAATTGAGGTAGTGAAGGTTTTGCAAGCATCCTTTATTAATCAAGACTTTTACTAATGTATGATGAAGATACTACTAAAGCATTTGAGTAATTACGGAGAAGCTGGATTGCATACATTGGCACTGGCTTATAGAAAGCTTGAGGAGTTTGAGCATTCTGCTTGGAACAATGAATTTCAAAAGACAAAAACTACTATTGGATCCGATATAGACATAATCCTCGAAAGGTGGCAGATATGATGGAGAAAGATTTGATTAGAAACATTAAGATAACAATATTATCCAACCATAATAATACAAAGATATTTTCTAATTCATAATTAGTGCTACAACACATCAAACCGACATATGATTAAAGTCTATAAATAGTACAACAACATATTAAAGTTTAAATATTGTCTAAGTCATAATTAGTAGTACTCTACATTAAAAGTTCACATCCTAACTTTGAGGAAACTTTTGAAGCCAAAGTTTCCCATGTTTTGGTTTTTTTGCTAAGAAAACTTTGGCCTCCAACTCATTTTTACCCAAATAATCGAACACCTCACAAAGAAATTCGTCATCAAAGCCTTCTTTCTCCATCGACATAACTTCTTCATACAGATGTGGTGTTTGATCCTGTGTACATTTTTTTAGTGCTTCTGCAATCTCTCCAAGTTTCTCACTTACCAATTTAATATGATCATCCTCGACATTGTCTTGGACATTATTCCTTTTACGTTTTGATGTACCAGATGAAGATAATTTTGTTTTTTCCTCTTCGATATCTTGAGTATCGATATTTAATGGCATTGAACCTTCATTAACATCATACAATTCTATATCAGCAAAGGTTTTAGCAAAACTCCCTGTTGCCATATCTTGACCAACAACAAGAGCCATCTCATCATAGAAATCAATTTTTTTGTTCAAATATGGTCCATATTTTGGGTGTGCTTGTTAAATATCATACACAGTTAGCATAAAAAGTAAAATTCAAATATCATTTATTAAAATAAGTATATAAAGATTACCGTCACTATAGCATCATATGTCACTTCGTCGCAAGTTATCATTCTCAGGTTCTCGTCCCACCCTAATCCACTTTCTTCACGAATTGTACATATGGTTTTCCATGTATTTTTTATTGTCCTCAAATGATTTTCCACGTGTTTGGTGGCACATTGGACTTGAAATTTTTCGGAAATAGTTGTAGCAACTCGATTTATAGAAACTGATCTAAATGTATTAGATGGCTTGTTACCTTTTTGCGTCTCCTCAGCAAGTATATCGAGAAATAGACGTTCCATTGGTTTTGTCCACCTAAAATGTTTTGATGTACTCATTTCTACATTAATAATCATAAAAAGTAAGTAAATAGACTACTAACAAACATAAATTATCCAACAATTATGTAGTAATTTGCAATATCAACCCTCAAATATACACCAAGCACCTAATACATAAGACGCCAAGAACTCAACTCCCAAGCATATGTAAATGTCCAACAAGCATAAAACATAAAATTTATAAAACCAACAAACTTTAAAATAATAATTTCAACATTCAACAAATTATATATTCAATGTCCAACAATCTAAAAACATTTTCAACTTCAATATCCAACAAACTAAAAACAACAATATCCAACATACGTAACAAAGAAATACTAAACAAAATGTTCTAAATAAAATTAAATGTTTCTATGTATATAATCACTCCACATAGCTTATGCAATTTCTTCTCTCTTAGTAGCCCATTCTCTAGCTTCTTCCCTCTCTTCTCGTTGTGTAAGAGTTGATGTTATTGAATGAGGATCGTATTCCTCATATAATTCTTCGTTAATTAAATCATTAGGATCAATTCTCATTATATGATTATGGATGACAGTACAAGCCAACACTACATCTACTTGTGTTTGAAAATCCCAAAATGGTTCAGCATCCAACACACGAAAACGTTTCTTTAAAATTCCAAATACTCGCTCAACAGTGGTTCGCAATGATGAATGATGAAGATTAAACAATTCATTTGCATTTTCTGGACGATGATTGGTGAACTCTTTTAAATGATATCTAACACCACGATATGGAGAAATAATTCCATTTCGGATGCCATATCCAGCATCAGTAAGATAATATTTACCTACAATTTGACAAAATGTTATTATTACTAAATATATTATGAAATTAAGTGAATTATTTTTTATTTTAAAGCTAAGTATTACCTTCTGGAATACTAAATCCTCTTCGACGTGTAAGTGCATCAGTTAAAACACGAGAATCATGTGCACTACCTTCCCAACCAGCTAGAACATAAGTAAATTTCAAATCAAAAGTAATGGCAGCCAATACATTCTGTGTCGTTCCCCTTTTACGACTACGAAATCTTCCTTGAATGTTAGGTGGAACAGATGCACGAATATGAGTTCCATCTAATGCTCCGACACAATCTTTAAAATATGGGTAAAACCTAGAATTGTTTCTTATCTCAAGAGGAGTTGACTCATCAGGTAATCTAATGGCTAATTGATATAATTTCAAAATAGCTTTCAACACAATCCTAAAGTAACGGTGAATTGTTTCAATTGATCTATAATATCTTGATCCAATCACTCGAAATCTTACATTATGACCAATTATATGTAAAAATATGAGAACTTGCTCTTTAACATTCACCGCTCTTGTCGACTGCAACTAATTGTTCCTAGTAAGGATATCACACAGATTAAAAAATGCAACTGGTCGCATCCGTATTATGTCGATACAATTCTGGTCACCTCTATATAAAATACTATTGATGTAGTTTTCTCTTTCACAATCTCGATTCACACGACGTTCATGACTTATTTGTTTTCTAGATTTTAGTCTGTGAATCCAAAGAGCCCCAAAAGCCAATACTGAAGCAGCGACTCCCACTATTGTTTTATGAATAGAATTACGTTCCATCTACAAAAAAATATTGAACATAATATTTATGAATTTGTGAACTTTATAATAAATTATAACCACTATTGTTTTATGAATAAAATTATGTTCAATATTATGTATAATGTTTTTATTTGTTCAAAACAAGTTGGAAAATCAAAATCAGTTATGTGTAACCTACATGATGCCCAAGAGTAACTAATAAGAAACCTCAAAGGTTAATTCGACTGTAAGTTGGGCTGATTATTGCACCACCATATGAGTGGAATTCGATCCTGCAACTTGCATTCAAACTTGCCTAATTTCGCTTGTTGGACTCATCTAAGCTACATATTTAATTGGTTTGATATTCCAACATGTGTCCAATTTTTATGAATATTTATTAATTTTAAGACAAACGTGAACAAATTAATTAAATTTTGATTAGAAACTTGAAGATATTTTACGCTTAAAATTGATATACTACATGCCAAAACTTGATAAAATATCCTAGTTCATAAGTTCAATTCTAAACAATTTTATTTTTCAATTTTATTTCATAAGTATTAAGCTTTTACCTAAAGCTAGAGTTCATATTACCTTTAAGCTTTTACCTAAGCTACAGTGGATGTAATTTATGTCGATATACTTGGATGTATATCTTTAGTTTACCTATTTCAACTTGTATGCTTATTTCAACTTGAGTTTTAATGCCAAATATAGGACATCACAAGATCTTATATTCCTTCTTTTTTTAAAAACAGTTTCACATCTCCATTGTCTCATCCTAAATGTTCCAAATGATAGTTTTATTAGAATTTAGTTAACCTAAAGCTAAAGTTCATATTACGTTTTAGCTTTTACCTAAAGCTAAAGTTCATATTATGTTTAAGCTTTTACCTAAAGCTAAAGTTCATATTACGTTTAAGCTTTTACCTAAGCTAAAGTGGATGTAATTTATGTCGATATACTATTAAGAATTTATGTCATATATCATATATTGAAAAACATACCTCGTTTCCCTTTTGTTATCAATGATATGTCAGGTTCAATGGTCGATCCTCGTAATGGAGAAAATTTTAACCAAATGTACAGGTGGACTCTAGTAAGAAGAACCTGTTAGAAATATTACAACTAATAAGATAAAATCATATAATAGAAATATTAATCGATGAGAACAAATTGACAATACGAAATATTAATCGATGAGAACAAATTGACAATACGAAATATTAATTTTTGCGAAAAATCCTGATAACATCAACTTAGCAGAAAATCCAGTGATTCAGAATGTCAAGAACATCGTTCTCGTTTAGTTCTAAACTCAAAAGTCACTTAACATTGTGTTATTCTGTTAGTCAGAGTATAAAACCAAACTCAAAAGCCGAGAGTTAGTAGTTATATATATGTGTGTTATGCTTGATTCTAACACGTTGCACTGGCTTTGTTTTTTCCGAAAAGAAATTGTTCATGGAGAGCTAATTTCTATTTAATATTCCTATTGTAGGATAAGTTGGCATACTTTCGAATAAAAGAACTTAAGGATGTTCTCACTCAATTGGAGCTTTCGAAGCATGGGAAGAAACAGGTCTGTGGGATGTTTAGATTATGGATTGTATTTTAATCCTCTTGTTCGAAATGTCTCTGTGGAGTCTTCTTATTTATCTCTGTTCATTGTTTGTGGTGTTTTCCTATATTTTTCTCTTTTAATTTCTCATTATGTGGCTACTAATTATTATAAATTTTAACGGTGTTTGATGAGATCACACTATTTTTTACCATCATGTGACATGGGTTCACAGAGTGCTAGTATTTAGCTGTTGATATGCTTGTGTCTTTAACTCAATCACAATCAATATTATTGTATATTGTTTTTGGCTTTAGTTTTCAGTAGGACCTTGTATCACTCGGTTTGTTTTTGTTTTGTGTGTGTGGGGGGAGGGGGTTGTACTGGTCTATGGGATGTGACCAAGGAAAGTAATTATGGAACTCGTTACATTGTTGAGAGAGTTTACAAACTATAGTTCAGAGCACAAGATGAAACCAACAAAACTAGGGCTTGGTAAAAAAGGAAAAAATAACAACTCCAAGAGTTGTCATGGAAGACTATATAAATCGGCTGCCATGGCCAAAGCCCATGAAAGCTAGACATCAAACTTACTTTGAACTGTCAAAAGCAAAACCACAACTACGATGACTAAAGATTTTCAATCCGCCATTGAAGAATAGGAAAAAAAGACCCAACCATCACTGAACGTACCCATAAACATAGTAGAATTAACAGAAACACAGAACTTACAAGTCAGTGATAACAATCGGACTCCGCTTTGCGAGCGAGAAGAAACCGACGAATGGTAATCTGGAAATGGTAATCAGGAAAAGTTGAGTTCGACCTCCTAAATGGTAATATGGAAAGTATATGGACAGTAAACAACGAAAAAGACAAAAAATTCATAAGCATGAATTCTATTATGTTTATGGGTTATAAAAATGGGTTTTAAGAACCAAAAACATCCGACATGAAATTCGACCTCTGTGGTTACCGAATCTATCACCACATACAGAGGGAAAATGACAGTGCGATTGGTGCATTTTAAAGAGATTTACCTTTGGAAATCAAAGAGAAAAGCAAAAGGGGAGGAAGAACATTAGGAATTCGAAATATTACCTTGGAATCCTAGAACGCCTCCCTTGATTTTGCTGGAAAAATCTGCTGATTTTGTTGTTGGTGAGAAGGAAGATAGTGATAGTTGATCGGAGAATGAAGGAGATCAAAGGCAAAGAAAAATGGGAGGCAGGTTCGTAAAATGAATTCCCGATTTTTCCATGGTAAGTTGATTTACGGGCAAAAGGAGTTTATTTTACGTTGACTGGAATTGTTTTTACATTGACCACAAGCTTTTACGGCAACCAAACACGGGAATTGAAGGAAAACCAATTCCCGTAATTGGTTTTCCTGAAAACAAACAGACCCTAAATCATTTATTCAAATCAGAATGAATAAACTATTTATAACTATTATAACTCAAATATTACCATCGCCAAAATTAATTCATTTAATATACTTTTATATTATATTTATTTCTTGTCCAATTCAACTAAATAGTTTAGACTTTCGAATCTAAAAGGGGTCCACCTTCAAGTGGGCGGAGGAAGCAACAATCAATTAAACAACAGCGCATTTAACTTATTTTACCAAAAGGCTAAAGTCGCGCGACTCTGGTTCTTCGTCGAGCGATCTCGCGCGATGACGCGAGTCTGACAACCTAATAATATTAAGTATATAATAACTATACGAGAGAAATATTTCAGTAAATCAATCTATCTTTTAGTGTATGAGGAAACCCTTTGCATCTGTAGCAATGGCTCCTTTCTCTTTACGTTGCCGTCTCCAGACTTCCGCGCTGAGCAATAAACGTTTCAAACCAAAGGCTAAGCAGGTAATTATACTTCCTGCTGCAGATTCAGATTTCGGTTTACAATTATATAACTGATATGGTGATCAGGGGATGAAGAACATGGAAAAAAGCTTCAAAAGGTTGAAATCAGAAATGGAGGAGATAAGCGAGGAGCAAAAGAGCATCAGGGAAGGGCAAAGACAAGTTAAAGAAAAATTTGAGATGGTTGAGTCGGAGTGCGAGGAATTGAAGAGGGAAACTAGACTCGTAATCCAACAAAGTGCGAGGACTCAGGTTAAACTTGCTCTTATGTTTCGCATCCTCAAAGCAAGGGAAGCCGACGACTTGAGTACCGCGGCCACTCTCACTGAAATGCTCCGGTTGGTTTATTAACTACTTACTCAATATTTCTGATACTGTTAATAATTGTATATAAAAGTCTTGTCATAACGATTTTAAACGAAAAATTCGGATTAATTTTTTTTGAAAATTTTGAAAATTTGGTGGTTTTCGATGAATTTGAAATTTAATTCTAACTCTGTTAACATTTGGATTAATTAGGTTGAATACTTAAAAATATGGTTTAAAATATCTTTTATTGTGCTGGATTTTTAATACACCAATCTCGTCGTTCTAATACGCGTTCCTTACCGAATTGGAACACGAACGAATTGAAAGGAGATTGGTAGGGGTGGGGGCGAATTAGGTAACACAGGTCATTCTACTCGAGGAGACTCATCATTTCATTGTGTATGATATTTCTGCCTTTTCGTATGCAGTGAAATAGTAGGAAGAGAGAGGGAGGAAAGCAAAGCTGACATCTGAATGGCTCTGACAAGCTTCCTCTTCGCTGCTGCCCCAAGAATTATGGAGTAATTCGTCGGTGCTATCTTTTAGCATTGTCACTGCGGCTACTTATGTTCTGGATCTATTTCTTTTCATGTCTGGTATGTTTTCGACTTTGCTATTTATTTTCTGTAGTGTTTTATGGGGTTTAATATTGCATATGTAAAGACTTGAAAACTAGTAAACCAGTTATGGTTGTCATCCTGAAGAGTTGTACATTTTTTTTGTTTGCTTTAATCTCGTACTTTGTTCTCCCTTCTTCAGTTTGCAACTAGCATTTTAGTACGCCTCTTAATGTGTTGGTTCATACCAACTACAAGTTTGGTTGTAAAAATCAATATAATCCCTATTACAACTCTTAAGAAGAGGTTTTATTTTAATACGAGTGTTTCCTCGTAGAGCGTTCCAACTCGAATTAAATGATATTGTTTTTTTTATCATTCAACTTCTTTGCTTTTATCACTTTGAAGTCGGGATTATATTGTAAAACACTCGCAGTTGTGTTCAAATCCTATCATTCAGCAGGCAATATAGGCATAATTGGTAATGACGATGTTGAATCTAGATTCAGTCTTCATGCAGAGTAGAAGCTACCGCTCTTGGTAAATCTTTAAAAGTGTCAGATTTCTTGTCCTCTGCCTCGAGGATATAGGGTATTGCATGCATCTAATTAATTGGTTTCGAAACATGAACGGATATCATTACAACTATGCTTATATACAATGAAGAACAATTCTTCAAGAATCGAATACAACTATTATATGTAATGTTCAATTATGCACTTCTTATGTGGGAGGGGTTCCCTCCCTAAACCCTCAAAGAAAGCTTCTCTTACCAATTCTTAGCTTATCTTTTGGACCCTGCAACGGGGTTTTATTGGCTATGCAGTCAACATGATTATAAGCTTCCTTTGGCATTCAGTCAGACTTTAGAGATTAAAAATTTGTAATCAATTAAAAGTTCTTAAAAACTTTAATCCAATAACCATTTCAGGAATAATTACATGAATGCATTGATACTTACTGGTTGTTTTCAATTTACTTCAATGTTGATACGTTGGGGCTCCATTTGAATGTCATCATCTTCGCGAACAAAGATTGAACTTTCAACCTATAATAGGTCCATTTCAAGGTCATCATCTTCGCGAAGAAATGCTTATTTAATTCGAAAACACCAAACTCAAAAACCTAACCTTTATCTCCGAAGAATGCAATACTAAAAAATTAGGGTTTTGATAACATACATTTCGATTCGATTGCATCAACAAACAAACAACTACGCTTCAATAAATGCGCTACCACTATTTACATCAATTAACTTCCCTGTAAAACTAGTCGTCTTTTATATGAGTTGTCTGGATTAGGGTTTCCTTTGTAACCCAATATTTATATTGAATATTCTTACAAAAGTATCGATATTGTTGTGTACGGTATCAATACTTTGTTGACGTTTTGTTTTTTCAAAACCGGTATCTATTAATATGTTATATTGTATATTGAAACCGATTTTAACAATTTTTAACCTTTTATATCATTATGTATCGATACATTTTTATAGGTACAGATACTTCTTACGTGCATGTAGTTTTGAGAAGCATACTAGACAAAAAGTATCGATACTTTATATAAACTTATGTTACCATTAAACTGGTATCTATTGATCGGTTACATTGTATATTGAAACCAGTTTTTTCAATTTTTAACCTTTTATATCATTATGTATCGATACATTTTTATTGGTATCGATATTTCTTACGTGCATGTAGTTTTGAGAAGCATACTGGACAAAAAGTATCGCTACATATAAAAAAGTATCGATACATATAAAAAAGTATCGATACTTTATATAAACTTATGTTACCATTAAACCGATATATTTTTACAACTTACATTGTTTATTTACCTATTGCTTTAAAGTAATCGGCTTTGAAATTTTAAGAATCGATACTTTTCATACGTGTATTAATACTTTATAGGCGCAATTATAGAAACCAGTTTTGTTAAAAAGATGAACATGTTATGTTATTTTAAAACGATACCATTACTCTTACAGAAGTATCGACACTTTTATGTTCGGTATCGATACTTTCGAGATGTTTCTTTTTTTTTTTCAAAGCCTGTAGCAATTTACCCTTTTTGTTATATTGAAACCGGTTTTATCAATTTTTAACATGTTATATTGTCATGTATCGATACATGTGTCATTGGTATCGATACTTCCTACGTTCATCTTGTTTGGGAAACATACTAGACAAAAAGTATCGATACATAAAAGTATCGATACATATACAAAATGTATCGATAATTTATGTAAATGTATTTTACCATTAAACTTGTATATTTTTATAGTTTACATAATTTATTTACCTATTACTTTAAAGTAATCAGTTTCAAAGTTATAAGACTCGATACTTTTCATACGTTTTATCGATACTTTATAAGCTTAGTTATGAAAATTGGTTTTGTCAATTTTTTACCTGTTAAGTTATTTATATTGAAATCGGTTTTGTCAATTTTCAACATGTTATATTGTCATGTATCGATACATGTTTGTAAGGTATCGATACTTTATAGGCGAAATTATAGAAACCAGTTGTGTCCATTTTCAATCTGTTATATTTCATCGATTGTTTAAATTTTTTACCGTTTTCTCAAATTTTAACCGATTTAGAAATTCTAAGAATGGAAATTTTATTGTGGAGATTATAGAAAATGATACTTTAATAATGTGTATCGATACATTTGCATGCAGATATAAAATACATTAATAACTAGTATTGATATTTTGATTGCAATCCTCAAATGTATCGTTATACAGAGAGCAAATATGGATATAAAAGCCCGACCAATCAACCAACAATGATTCGAAGATCAAATGTCGTTATATATTCGGAGCAATCAACCTAAATGAAACACGAGGGAAATCTCGACCATCATAATTTTGAGTAACAAGCAAGAAGACTTGATATGCGAAGAATGCCTTTCGAATATTATCCATTTCATTCATCTCATGAAGATAGGAGAACTGTAAACCGAAACCATCTGAGAGAAACATAGCTGAAGTAGAAGCATCTGCATATTTAAAATCTCGAAGGTGATCCATTTGGTTCTTAAACATTTAAAGCATCAGAAGCATTTTAGACTTATGATTTGGGTGCTACACGGGAAATGTAAAAAAATGCATCAAAAAATTCTCGAGAATTGAATGCTAAATCTTTTAATAATAATGTTAAATAATGGAAGATACATACGTAATTCATAAGTACCGGTGCTTGGAATTTCAAAAGCTATTACTTTAAAGTAATAGATAAATTAACAATGTCAACGGATAAAAGTGCTCCGGTATAATGAAAATAGTCGTAAATGACAAGTTAAGACGCTTGTCATGTACGCCTATTATCATTGCACCGGTAAAATTTTAATGTTTACATTGTTAATTTAGCTAAGTATCGATATTTTATACACGTGTATCATTTAATTATTTTTATTATTATTACAAGTTGTAGCCCTCAATTATCGAGATTTTTAGTTGTCTTTTGTTGCATTTCCCGTATACCACCCAAATCATACGTCCGAACCGTTTCTTAGACTTTAACGAGAACCAAATACATCACCGTTGAGATTTTAAATCTGCAGCTGTTTCTACATCTAGTATGTTTTGCTCTGATGATTTTAGTTTAGGGTTAACCTATCTCAATAAGGTGGCTGAAATGGATAATATCCGAAAGGTGTTCTTTGGATATCCAATCTTCCTGTTTGTTACTCAAAATTATTATGGTCGGGATTTCCCTCGCGTTTCAAGTTGGGGGGAAAAATAATGTAAATTAGGAATAATCAATGTTAACATTCAAATTGTCTAAGTTAATAAGTATTGTAAAAGATGGTTGTTATCTTAGAAATGGAATTTGATGTTACCTCTCGATGCATCCATTGAGTAAGTTGTTGTTTGGATGGAACAAAAGCTTCAGCTCATATTTATAGTGGAGCCGAAATTTATATTTAAATTCAAACTCTAATTAAAGATGAAATGAACATGAAATGCAGTGTAATATTTAACATGAAAATTGCATAATTGATTCATACAGTTCAAGTAACATGCGTTATGAACCATCAAACTGGTAAAAGACAATACTGATTCAGTTCAAAACTTAGTTGTGAGTTGATGGAGTTGTCACACTTCTCACATGGGAATAAGTACTCTCATGGAAAAGAGGAAGAGAAGAGAATAAAAGATGAGATAATTAGATTGTTATCTTTGTACAACTCATCCAAATGGAATATTTACTTTGTAAGTCACATGTTATATTGTGGAATATTAAAATACACAGTTACTGTGTTATATGTTTTATTATATTTAAATTGAAAATAGTGCATTATGTGTATTATGTGAATCGAATGAAAATATACACACAATATAAGTAAACCAAACATACATACACAACAATTTTATACATAACAATGTTCAAATATTATACCCACAAAGAAATTAATCCGACGAAAAAGGGTTATTTCTAACGAAGTCCGGAAAATTAGACGCATTCCACAAATTTTCCAAATAATCTCGTATGTTACCGCCTTTTTATGATGCCATATATAAATAATTTTAATTATCAAACTAATCAGGTGCAATTTTACTAACAAGAAACTAAATTTGTATAAGCAGGAATAAATTTGTGTCATACCTAAAGCATTGTGCTCTGAATAGGAAACGTCAAAGGGATGTGTACATATGTAACTGTATTGCTATATAAAAACATAAATTGTTAATCAACCAATGTATGAACACCTATTTAACTGTAAAAACATATGGCATAAATGTAACTTATCGGATTATAAATCATTTTTCCCGCTGAATCATCGACCAACAATGTATTTTGGGCCTTAAAATGAGGATACGCATTCCAAACATCATGGAGATCTTTAAAGTAGGTAACACTGTTTTTTTTTTGCACTTTCATTGATCCTGTTTATAGACAGTCGAACATAAATATGTAGGAATCATAAACAAATAAAAGTCAACAAAGTTTAATGACATTCATCTTACCCAAATGAATAGAAACTGGTCAGACAACAAAGGTAGCTTCTGAAGTGCACGTCGATGTTAGGCCTGAGATTGTAATCAATTTCGAATATTAACATCTAATTGTATATTAATGATTTTGTCTATAGTAATTCAATTGCTTAACAATGCTAACCTCATCTTAGAATACCAAATGCAACAACAAAATTTTCTAAACAAAATGTAGAAATTCATATACTCATACTCTCATGATAACATTTGCAACATGAAGAAAACGAGATTAAAGTTATACGTGTATATGTTAAAATAATGGATACAAATGAACATAATTAAAACCTTTTGGATTTCTTGAGAAGTAGGCAATGACACCATTAACATCAAATATTACAAGTTTTCTTGCCGGCGGTGTTGCAGATATGATATACTTGTTTGAAATTCATAAGAAATTAATGTTGTGCCCACCCTTCAACGATCATATCTTATTGAAAGCACCACTGAAACATGCTGTTCTATAAACCTTTACTTACATCTCCATCAACTTCCGTTGGGACCACTGAACTTGCACAAACAAATTTTTTTCATATGGATCATACTGCATCAGACAATATTAAGCCAGCCGATGAATACCATGAAGTACATATTGTTGATAATCTGACAGATTGGTTGGTCAGCTCTTCTCTTCACGTTATCAAGCTTAAGACTTTTACAATGGATGCGCATGGAAACATGGTTTTAGTGCACGTCATGGAACAACACGGCTTGATATGGAAGGGAATGTGAAGACACAAGAATTTTGTTATTCAAAAGAAGGGTTTCAAGTA